AAGCATTACTGTTTGGGCCAGGGAATTGCACTTGTGTGCCAAATACAGAACTACTTCCTCTCAAAAGTATACTTTAATCAGAGGCTGCAAGGCAATTTAATTTTTTTTTGATGATGAAGAAAAGGTAATAACTGATTTTCCATACTCTGCATCTTTAAGGAAAAGGAACTCTAATGTACAACTTGGTAGGACTCCAGGCACAAGAGGAAATGGGTTATAGCAGTTGTGACTGTGCAGAGCAGATGTTTTGGTTGGCCTGGCTATCAACCATCTGACTCATAATAAATTGTCAGTTCCAGTAAATTCCCAGTTTTCAATTACAGTAGGTAGGATATGAGAAAACAATGCCGTTTGGATAGTGTATTTAAAGTGGTTTTGATGGTAATTTTCATAAACAACTCCTACTAACTTTGTAAAAAGATTAAGGATTTTGGAAAGGCAGCAGCTGTAAACATTGAAACATGCATTTGAATGTAAATTGAGATTAATAGAAATGAAAACCAACAAATGGCTGTTAACACAGTGCTGATGCAATTGGAAACAGAATTTTAAGTTTTTCTTTGGAGTTTTGTGATACTCAAAGTGCTTTCATGAGGTATATGGGAGAAAAATATCTAAATGCCTTCAGACTTCAATTTTCATCTCTTCTGTTCTTCATTTATATTTTCACATGGTCTCTTCCTCTTTTAAAAAATGCATACTTTTAAAAATGCATGCTTAAGGAACCTTTCCTCTGCACTGTGCTAAGTAGAATAACAGTGAATTAAAATAAAATACCATGAGTTTACTGTTTATAAAAAGTTGTATTTATTATTGTAAATTGTTGCTAGGTTTCTGTAATAGGAAAAAAAAAGCATATGGGTTGAAAATGTCTAGATTTTTTTTGTTGTCGTTCTTTTCTCACCACGTTGCTTTGGAAGTTTTGACAAGGATGAGGTTCCATTGTACAAAGTATTCTGTAAACATAGGAAACCCCTTGTAGTTCTTGAGAAAGAAAACTATTTTCAGTTTTAAGGGGTATATTCATTTTTTTAATGTTTGATTTGAATGGACATTTTCAGAAATGAAATATTTTTTTAAAAAAAGACATAGTAGCAAGGTGGCAGAAAGGCACCATGAAAATCTGTGTTGGATCTTTTACACTGCAATGTTCTAGTGGCTTGCTTTTTTTACGATCAAGCATGAGACTGTTGTGGAAAAATTAATAGGTGGGCATTATCACATGTTTAACTAATGATCTCAAGCATTTTTACATTCCGTTTTTAAACCTCAAAATTCCTGTGGCCCAGGATGAGTTCTCTGTTCAATTAAAAGTTCATTTTAATAATGCCTTCTGTAGAGTCTTGTGTAGAAAAACTTCAGTGAGTATAAAATGGCACTTTTATTATGCAGTTCTAATCTTGAAATTTAATATTTATAGAAAATTGCCATTCTGCATTCTTACAAAATCAGTTTTTCTTGAATATAAAATAAATTTGTTTAATAAAAGCAACTATTGTATTGTAAGTTACATGCAAATTATAAGACAAAAAAACTGGATGCTTAAATACTAAAAAATGAGATGTGACTTTAGTTCAGCAGCCTTTTTTTTTTTCTTTTTTTTCTTTTTTTTTTCTTTTTTTTCTTTTTTTTCTTTTTTTTTTCTTTTTTTTTCTTTTCTTTTTTTTCCTAAAAGGGGATAATATTGCCAAAGTGTTTGGATGTCACTCTGTCTTTTGAAGGGAGCTGAAAAACAAGAATAGAGGTGACTCTTACTTTGCTGCTCTATTCAGATCTGGTCTGTTCTTTGATATAAATACATGTGCAGAAGTGGGAAAAGGAAAAATGCTGTCTGTGCAGGGTTTGATAAGAAGCATTAAAACAGTATTTGTCTTTGGACACTGTGGTGTAATGAAGAGATCTCAGCCCCTGTTCTGGGCACGTGGAATGGCCTGGTATTGGAAGGCTCCATCTTCTCACCTGATCACTTAAGGTTTCTATAGATGACTGGGACAGAGATCACTGAAAGCGTTAAGTTGTCTCTAACTGGCACAGACAACATCAAAAAAGTTTATTAGCTGCAAAGTTTTCCACAGTTTATCTGCAAGACATGTGGTTTTGGTTTGGTTTTATAAACGGCAGCTCTAACAGATACACCAGCGTCAAATGCAGTTCTAGCAAGCAGCTTCTTCCATAAATAACAGAGGCTGAAAGGAATAAGTGGTATGGTGTCAGATAGAAGGGGATTCATTGTAAATCTGTGGCCACCTGAACAATAAAGTCAAGCAGCTTCATGGTGTTACTGCTCTGTGTCTTTTAAAACCTACAGGAATGCTGGTTTGGGGTCTTTTTTAAGTAACAATTTTCATATCTCAGGGCTGAAAATATGCATCCATCTGAAAAGTGGTAGTTACAGAAGAATGCCAATTTCTTTACCTGGATTTCCATTGGACAGGAGCTGTATGAACATAACAGTGCTCTGCTGGCAGCAGGAGTTGCAGTCATGTTTGTTGAGTGTATTTTTGTAAATGGAAAAATATCCTGTCTCAATTTATTGCTCTTACTTCATATTTCATTTTACTGCAACTTAACATGAAAAGATGCAGAGATGATTTATGTGGTTGTGTGGGTTTTTTTCCCCCTGGCATGAGTCTTCATATGAAGTTCACTAGTGAGCACAGAAAATAGAATGTAATATTACTGTATGTGTTAATGGATGCTCTAATAGCATTCACCTAATCTGTTTTGGAGTTGGGTTTTTCTGTTTCCTTGTTTTGACTTTGTTCAACCAGTAAGCACCTGATAGGATTCCAGAAACTAGTCTTACACATGGTGGTAAGCTGTGTGTGCACATCTACTTTTAGCACTAATTATAAATGCTAGACTAAAGAGGGGCTTTACGGTCCAAGGCAGAGCTGGATGCAGCACTACAGGTGGGGTCTCAGCAGAAGCAGAGCAGAGCAGGAGGGCAGAATCCCCTCCCTCGTCTCGCTGGCAGCGCTGCCCGAGATCCAGCCCAGCATCCAGTTGGCTTTCTGAGCTGCAAGTGCGCGTCACAGGGTTACATTGAGCTCCTCATCAACCTAACCATTTTATGTACCTGTCATCTCTTGAAGAATGCCCATTAAAATAAAATCTTTTTAATTGTTATTAGCATTAAAAGGGTTGCTGTTCAATCTCTCTTAATAGTTCTTTTCGTTTGATTGACAATTAGCAAATTAATGGGGAAAAGGCAGTTAATGCTATAGTCATAGCGTTATAGGATTGAAAGCTGTTCCTTATTCAATTTTTTTTCCTTAATGATGGAAATACATGAAATACTGGGGAAAAGATCAGGGTATATTGTACTCTTGGGTATATTTTGTTGTTATTTGTCTTGTTGATAAAGGTTTTGTAATCTGTTCTATTTTCTCTAGTCCAGATGATAGTAACACTTCAGGGAACATTTTGGGTCACGAGATCCTATCCATTGCTGTTACAGGCAGTCACATCCCATAATGCCATCCCTAAACTGACCGCAGCAGGACAACAGCTATTGTTTGTTCTCACCACTCATATGGAGTGTGGTCCTGTGACTTAGGGTTAAAACCATGCTCTGATTTCCAGCCACAGTGTGCTTTTGTGACCATTTTACAGGCAGTTCTAAGAGCGCAGTTTTATTTCATCTGTCACAAGTGAGCTGCACACCAAGGCAGAATTTAAGAAAACACTGTCAGCTCTGTCTCATTTTTCATCTAAGACAATTAGGCTTTTTTAAGACCCATTCTTCCCTGCAGCTTATCACTAACTTTCTTGGCATGTAGTGTTCTGCACACAATAGCTGGTACACAGCTCGTCTCTCTGGACATTAACAGCCCTGGTCCTGCCAGAGCTTCAAATGGCACGAGATTGCCTTCCTGAAACCACTCAGCAGTCACTTAATTTTTTGTTCTCCTCACATAGGGCAGGGCCTCCTAAGAATATTTAAGTGGTTTGCCTGTTCCTTCCTCACAGCTGCCTGTAGGACAGAGCATACCAGGGCACTCTGCACCATGTTGATCATGCTTTGAGTACATATCTTATTTCCTCTCCTATTTTTCCAAAACAGATAAGAACAAAGGCATCTTGGCAAGTTGCTATGTATATATGAACAAACATGTTGGAAGATGTATTTGTGAGCAGAAAGTGGCACCATATTATTTGCTGTCAGTGAAGGTGACTGTGCTGCTAACTGATTACTTTCTAACTAGAGGTCAAGAGCTTAAATGAAGTTGTGTGTGGCAGAAATACACTTGTTAGTACTATATGTAATTTATGAATTGGAGGGACATCAGGTCCTAGCAAGAAACAATTTGTTCTAGATGATCCCAAAGCTGTAACTGATTGTTCTGATTAAAGAAAGCCTCAACTGTGAATACAATAAGATTAAGTTGTATTTAGCATGCTGGGTTTTTTTTCCTACAGTCCTGTCCTGGAGTCTGCAGTCTTTGCTGAAAGTAATGCATAGGTTTAATTTGCAGGAAACTGGGGGACAGTGACTTCTAGATATAAATTTCTAATTGCAAAAATGTTTTTCATCCACAACAGGAGTTGAGTACAATACACTAGAAAGTTTGAATCCTAAACTACTTTGAAAAATAACAAACACAGAATTTGTGGTCATAACTCAGTGATATTACAACATTTTAAAAAATCCTTTGGCATTTGCTTCTGATGTCAAGCCAGGAATTCCTAAAAATGAAATCTGTATCTTTGCTGAAATTTATAGTTCACTGAATTGAAGAATTGTAGTACTGTATACTTCATAACTCAGTAATTTTATTCTGATACATTAAAGGAAATCAAGCAGATCAAAATATTTATTTAAAGTGCCAATATAGTAAGAAAGAATAAATTTGCAACCTGTTTTGCAGGGTTACAGTTTAGATTCCTCACTTAAGCATCTCCTAAATAAGTTTGTGTTTGACTTACTAGTTCTTATCTGTAAGCTTTTAAATATTCAGTTTGTTATTTACCATTTTATATTGTTTTTCTATGTACAGGATGTGAATGAAGACCCTGGAGAAGATGTTGCACTCCTCTCTGTCAGTTTTGAGGATGCTGAAGCCACTCAGGTTTTTCCTAAGCTGTACCTCTCCCCGCGTATTGAACAGTGAGTGAGAGATTTTCTTCTAGAATGTTTATTCTGCTTCATCTCAGCACTTTTCAATTTTTTCCTGATATGTGTGATAACATACTAGGTGATAACATATTATTGCTTTAAATTGCTTAAAGTTATAGTGGTTGCTTTGAGCGTGTGTGGTGGAGAAATGATAGATCTTCTCTCAGCTAGTTTTGTTTGTATGTGATATTCTTGTAGCGTCACAATCTCCAAAAACCATGTTTGTCCTTTCTTGTGGCAATATATTTTGAATGCCTTCTATGGTACAACATAGTGATAGCTTTTGTGGGGGGGAATCTTTAATTGTTTTTTCTTTTGGGAAGGTAAGTTCTCTATATAAACATAATATATTTGAATAAATTATTATTGTAGAAGCTAAAGAACTTGGTTAACTTTTGGAATTTGCAGCTTTAGTAAATTACTTTTTTCGGGAGAATATCTGAATATTTCATTTTAAGAGCATTGAACCTTACTGATGTGTTTACCAGTTGGCACGTTTGCTGAGAAATGGATTTTTACTCCTAAAATGGAAGACTGGAGACTAAAAATCAATCTGTTTTCATTAAATTTCATTTCTTCCTTTTCTGAAATTGAAAATATTTCAATGCTTCTCCTTGTCTTCAGTATTTCAGTCTTGTAATGCTTAAAAAAATAACTATGTTAGACTTTTCAGGAATACCACATTCAAACTGGTGTAGCATTGTTTCAGTGATGTGTTTTAGCTAATAGGGCAGTTGACTTTCCTCTGAACTGGTGATGACTCTTCTGTGCAGAGGAAAGATGGGAAATACTGACTACCACAGTTTTCTAATAACTAGGACAAAGTTTGTGTGAGTGAAGAAACATGATATCTTGACAGATAACAGAGTATTGATCTGGATGAGCTCTTGGATGCAGTTTAGAAAATAAAAACCAGAATTTGACTTAGATAAAGACATAACACTTCTGAGATACTTTAACAAAATGTAGGTTACATGTGCATGTGCAAACACATAGATAATGTGTTTAGTAGCTTTCACATTTTCATATTTTTCATTAATTCATTCTTTTTTGTCAGCATCAATTGAGGGAATAATTGTAGTCAAATATGTAATTATCCTTCTATGTTCCAAAGGATTCTTTTTCTGAACTCTTAAAAGCAAATGGGCCACCATTAGTTTCCATTGTATTTCCAGCTGCAGTCACATGCTGATGGTGAAGTATGTTTCAGGCCACCCAGGTATATCTGTCTAAATCATCCACGAGCTAATGAATACGTTGCATATTTTCCCACTTTCAGCAGTATCTTTAGAAAGATGTTAACCTCTTGATACCTAGCAGAATAGTACAAAGGAAGTCTTTGTCTGCCTAAAAGTATTGCATTTTCTCTCAGTCCCCTAAAGAGCATCTGATTTTAGATGTGTGATGTAGAGCGAGACATCAGAAAGATACTTGAGTGGTATTGGTATGTAGCTGACATTCTGGTGTATTTATGGCTTTTGTCACTTATAGCTGATGCAGTCATGTTAAAATCATGCCAGTAAACCCTGGAGTTCTGTGCCACACCTTGTCACATTATCTGTGTGTTGAGATTGAGATACTTATCTAAGTCAATCTGTTTTTCTGTATTTGTAACATTTTCATCACAGTATCTAGGTACTGATAATGCATAATTACTGAAGTTGCTTGTGAAGTGTTGCACCTCACTTTATGCTACTGGCTACTTCTTATGTGCCATGAAAAAATGTATGGGTATGTTTTCAGTGTTTGTAAAATTGTATCTTAATAGCAAATATACAGTTCTCTCTTGTTCTTTCCCAAAACCAGTCTCTGCTGTGTTTAGCAGGGGCTGACAGTCTAGATATTTAACCTCCCAGTGTTTGGGAGCTGAAGCAACAATGTGTACTTCTTTATACTTTTTGCCAAAAGTATAAAAAGCCTCAAGAAGCCCTCAGGATTAGTTTAATGACTTGAGGCCGTGGCATGCTACATTTGAATTGTGTTCTGCTTATAAAGATCTTTCCTGCTGCTCACAGTAATTGGATCTACAAAAGCCATGTAAGCAAATCACCAGTGTATTTTTTCTGTGCAGCAGATTTTGAGGTGTTCCAAGTAATAGTTGATAGTTCCCAACATAACATTCCCAAGAACTCAACAAAACGTGAAAAATACCAAAGTCCCACAATTATTTTGCTAACACTAAAATGAGTTCACATTAAGAAGAGTGAGCAAACAGGAATAGCATTTTCCTGACATATGAAATAACATTTCAGGTTTGTAGAGCAGTAAGAGGAAAAGGGCCTGTTTGTGTAAAGTGAGTTATCTCCTGCTTTCCCAGGAGGTTTCATTGCTCTTGTGCTCTGCCATATAAACACACATTCCCACATTGCCCTTTCTAAAAATGATACATACCCACAGATCTTGTCAGCAAATCTGAGTCCTAGGAATGTGAATATAGGTTTTTGCTTTGAAGGGTTTTTGTAAAACACATTTGCTCTATTTTTTAAAATTGATAGTAGGTGTAATAATACTAAGACTTGGACTGCACTTTGTCATAGACTCTGTAAGAGAGATTTCCAAAATCAGGGAAGTGTCCAACTTTTAGATTTGGGGTGAAGATGTTAGTACCCTGATTGGCTTGAAAAGGTTCACATATTGAAGCAGCAGGTAGAAATCCAGTGGAGCTGTGGCTCATTCAAGTCAGTATTGGTGCTTTATTGGCTTGTATGGTGTGATGTCTGGCTGCAAGAGTGTCAAGTGCAGTTATTACAATCAACCAAACCCACATTTAGGGATGGGAATTACCTGTATTAATTTGTAAAAATCTCATCAATAACTATTCATTACAATACCTAGTCTAATTCTTTCGTTAAAACATGCTAATTTGAAAAGTTCATTTTGATACTATTTGTTCAAAACACATTAACAGCAACTTTTAATGTTTCCTTCATTTGAAATCAGTCACTTAAAAAGCTTATATTCCATAGTTTTAATAATTCTTCTGACTTCTTATTGCATAACAGATGCCAATAGCAGTTACTTTCAATTATTTCAAAATTAGACCAAGATAAAGTGAAACATGGGATTTTTATGAGATATATTTGTTTTTTAAAAACTACCATCTTTACTGTAGTATCATAGAAAACAGTTTCTGCACACTTCTGTAGGAAGTGGTAAGCTGAGAAACCACACAGACTGACCACACAACTTGAGAGATTGGTGCTTGTCAGCATCCATGAGTGTGTCCCCAGCTCATCCTTCCCTTCCTCCCACCTCAGGGCAGGGGCCTTGTCTCAGGATGCTCTCCATCCTCTGCTGTGCTTTGGGGACAGGGTCATACAGCTGAGCTAGGTAGGCACAGCCATGCTCTAGGGCATGGTAAGGACCTGCTGGGATATTTATCCTTTATGTCTCTGATGCATTTCCATGAGTGATTCATGGTGGCTCTAAACCTGTTGGTAGGAAGCATCTTGTTGTTCAAAATTGCCTTTCTGGTGAAAGTATACTAGGTACTCATATGGGATGGAAATCTGTTATAAAGCTGCCCGTCATATCTTTGTTTCTCATTTATTAAAAGTCATTAGACACTAAATCCAAGAATCAGTGCAGGATTGAACAGCTGATGTCTAAATTAATGATTAAAAATGTGTGTCAGCATACTACACATGAATGTGGATCAGAAGTTTTTGGGCTTTTTTCTTAACAGAAAAAGAATCAATGTATGTAGTTTTTTTTTTTCTTTCGTGAGTCATCCATGCTAAAGAACATAAAAATGGGTTCATCTTGGTTCACATTTTAAGAAAAAACTATATTAGGGTAGAAACACTGTTGCTCAGTGAATGCTGTGTTCCCTATGTTCACAGAAATAATCCTGCAATAAACACTGTTGTCCTGGAGGGCTTTTCTCTGATAAATACAGACGTGAATATGCTAAGAAAACCAGCTGTCAGTAGAAGTTGTTTTGCTTAAATGGATCAGACTCCATGCGTTGGGGACTGAAATGGTCGTTTTTTACTGGTCTGGGAGCTGTGCCAGAGGGTTCTTCGTGACTGAGGGTGGTATGCAGAGTTCGGTGACTGCGTTTAACCTTCCCATACAGGCAGGGGAGAATAACAAGAACCTGATCTGAACTCTCTGGCTTTGAATGTTCCTGTATGTTTTTCACTGATGGAAGAAAAAATTGAAGAGAAAATGAAATGTGTGTTTGCTTTGATGTGTTTCCTGTCTGTTACCTGTGTTTTCTGCTGGGAGCTGGAGGAGGAAAACCATAGCATAGTACCCATTTACTGCTGAGTACTGCCTCTTGCTATGTTTGAGACACAGGGGAGCTGTTAAGGCCTTCACCTTTGAAGTTGGCATGCCATGCTGCCTCCACTAGAAGCCTGCTGTTTTAGACAGATTATGAGTACACAGTCACTAAATGAATGGTTGGGCTTAGGCCTTTTTATATGTCTGCTTTGTAGAAGTGAGAAGATCTTCAATTTGGCATACTAATATGTGATTATTCTTGTGAATTGATGATTTCAGTAGAATTGTTAGTAGTCATACTCGGCAGTTCATGGCTTCTTCAGATCCCTTTGCAGACATGGGAAGCAGAAGGAGTGACAGTTGATTTGCAGAGTTTCCTGTTCCATGAGGTTTTGTTTGGTCAGTGCCTGGCCAGTGCATCAGACATATTTACTGCCTGCTGTGTGTGCCATGCCCCCATCAGCCAAGGCTTCAGAAACTATAGCCACTACCACAAACTCATTGCCAGCCTAGCACTGCTTTGTGCTCTTCTTGTGTCCACAAAATAATTGTTTTGCTGCTACCAGCTTTTGATGGCGTGTTGACAGCTCCAGAAGAGATCAGGACAGACTGGGACTGGCAGTCAAAGCAGATTGACTTGTACTTCTATTCCAGGTGTTCAACTGTACTGATTGTTCTTTTTTTTTCTTTTCTTCCCTCTGAAGCTGCTATAGAGCAATTAGTGAAAATAGTTGTAGGAGAGCTAAGATTATGTGTCCATCATC